TTTACCTGTACTAGTTATGAGAAGCAAGTGTTTTTGTATTATTTTACCTGTACTAAACCTTCCTTCCAACTCTTTAGTTTTTTCTGACGTTTTTTAATTTTAAATTTCGCAATATAGGTATATCCCTGTATTGTATGTGTGTAGAACATAAAACAATAGTTTTCATTGAAAATGTAAATGTTCATATCGTTGTAATATATTTTAATTTTGATAATGATTAAGTAGTTCATGCTGCAACACAAGTACCGGAAAAGCTGAAATCTTAATGTGAAAACAACTAAATGAATATCAAGTAAAGTGATATTGTTAAATGTCTAACGACTTGGTGCCGCATATATTTTGAGGCGAAGTTCTGTTAACTGTTAACTGTTAAATGTGTTTACTATTACTGTAATTTATTTAAGTCACGATTAAATAAAATTGTCAACGTATCATTTTTATCCTAGTATCTTCTACTACCAGAAACATATAACTAAGTAAACAACAATCTCATATAAATTACACTTATCAGTAAAATAATTTAAGTAAATCGGTAAATGGAAAGCAATATTGTGGCGTAAGGGGAATGTTTACATTCTTTCATTTAAAGATATTTTACATAATAGAACAATAACTTATTATAATAAAAAGATATAATAAGTTTCTATTTTTGATCTCATGATGGGTTAGCCTCTGGATCAAGATAATGCAAATATAAAAGGTTTAATTTACCTGTTGCGTCAATTGATCCTTAAGTTATGAAATAACTATGGCCGTTTCGTGCTGCTAAGCGAGCACATCTTCAGGTTGAAACGTTAAAATGCGGTCTTCTCATCCGGGGTCTCTTCTCATGAGTCGTCAGCACATTTAGGACACATAACACGGAACACAAACGAAACATTTAAATATTTACAATACAAACTTAGTAGTCCGAACACGAGTTGTGTAACCGGTAGCGTTAGACGATGAGTCATATATGAATTTGAACGGATGGTTTTTTGGCCTCTGGGAACCTCAAAACGAAAAATTAAATCGGTCCCGGGTCCAGGTCTTACCATGAGACCTACGGTAATAGCTTTTCCCCTATATGGGAAATTCGCTAATAAATTAATTTTTAAAATTATAAGTATCAAATTTTGGCTACATTCTATTACTTAATTCTGTAGTTTAATTTGTGTTTTGTCTCTCAAAACCCCTAAAATCCCCTTGACTATTTTCATCGTATTTATTCCATATGAAGGTCCTAAGTATTCAATTGAAGCACAGAAAATATTAATTCTTTCTACATTTCATAATAATGTTTAATTAATATCAAAGCTTACTGTAATTTTAATTTTACATTCAAATAACCGTTCTAAGGTTAAATCAAATAAGGACTCGAATGTAGAGGTAATGGTCCTATAAAACAAAGTTTGTGTCCTTCGTGTGAATTAATGACCTAAGGTATGGTAATTCCGAAGCGCTTAAACTCATTTTCTCGGGGATGAATAGGTATCGATCCCAACACCTCTGGCCCTATAAGGATGTTCAAAATCCAATGTTATTTGAAAATGTACATTTTAAAAATCGCCCGTTCCATAAAGGCTGTATGCATTATTTAAATTAAAAAGATAATATTTTATATTGCCTTATTTTAATCTTATATCATATATTTAACCCTATTTATACTGTACCTCATTTAAAATATAAAATGGTCACTTTATTGGAAAATTTAATGCACCCATGAAAAAAAAAACATATCTGTGGTAAAATGCATTTATAAAATTATTGAATTAAAATAATTTCAAACTATAGGTTAGAACTTTACCAGTTTATTTTTAAGGGGTTCAATGCTTTCCTTGGTATATTCAGGTTGCGTCCTTTGATGAAATAATAATGTCAATGGGAATTTAACTGTGTAAAATTAAACGGCTATTTTGACCTTTAGATAGTATCGGAATTTCATAACCGTAAAAATAAAATAAGAAATACAATAAAAATGCCTTTATTTCCGACTCTTAGTACAATTTAACTGTTTTACAGAGTCACTCAGGTCAAATACTAATTAAATATATAATACTATTATAATAAAAGAAATGGTGTGATAAAATACAAATATTTAATACATATACGCCTATTTTACACTATTAATACATTTTTTTAGTTTCTTTTAAAAGCCAGGACACCCAGCTGTTTTAGGTCCATGGGGAGATTGTATATCTTTGGGCCAAAGTAGAAAACCCCCTTTCCTAACCACTTCCAGGCGCACTTTTTGAAAGTGGAGCAAAGTGTTGTGCCGGGTCTCGCGTTGGGTCACCTCCCCACGTACGACAAGCCTCTCCACCAAGTACTTATATACTTATATAGGCTCTTGCTGAACCAAGACCCGGTGGATGAGGCTACTGGTCTGCGCCCTGCATACGGCACCCATTGACAGCAACCCCGCAGCATCCCGGAATGGGGATACCCGTTTACGTACTAGGCTTATATACCCTTTAGTACTAAATCGTAATATTAAAAAAATCTCCTAAAAAATCGTGACCTTTATGTTTCAGAGTACGCTCTTTCAGTGTTCAAATCAGTCATACTATGTAGTCTAACCTAATCCTTTGACATGCTATGAATTATCCACATATTAATAAAGCCACATCAAAGTAAAACCAGCCGAGTTAGGCCACACATTACTCTGGTAAAATTCAGTGTTGAAATACCTTATTTGATTTGCAAATTTTCCATATTATATTTATTTAATTTTACGTAAAATACATTTCACAAGACGTCCTATTTAACAGTGAGTTTTATTGGTTCTATATAATATAATATAATATTATATAGATATTCTATGTAATAGATAAATAGAACAGTTAGTATGTAAGTTACCTCGTGGTAAAAAGGTGTTAAATTGTAATTTTACAGTAACTTACTAATCATTACTTTTTTTTAGATTATTATTTGTTTTTAACATTGGCTATAAACTTTACTGGAGCTGGTTTAAATTTTGAGGAATCGATCTAAAACAAGTATTTTCTTGCAGTGTCCGAATTGTACTTTTATTCATTTTTTTCTAATGTTGATCAATTTACGACAAAGATGTTATCTTTGGTTCATTCAAACCTTTGTGTAATAGAATGTACGTAGATTAGGTATGTTTGAATCTGAATTTCACATTTAGTGGTAGGAAAGGTAAAGGAAATGTAAATTTATTCCCTCAGACCTTCAAAGAGTTCTTTGAACTTCCCTTTATGAACCCAGATATTGTCATGAGGTAGTTGTTCCCCGTTGAAATCTCTTGTGATGGCTTTAATGACCCACTTCTAAATTCAACAATACAACTGAATCGAGTCCGGCCTGCTTAATAACTAAAAGTGGTTCGTCGACGTACGTTGACATTTTGCCATTATTATCCAACAGGATTCAGCTTAAATTCGTGGAAACTTAATTTAATATTTGGTGCGGTAAACAAATATTATTCTATGTTCGATTAAGTGTTAAAAAAGGTTATACGGTGCTGGAATCGGTTTGATATGTACAGTATTGTTCTATTACATTTGTACATAAATGCATTCGTAAAGTATTATTTATGTGTCTGTGTGATCAGAGTCCTCATCGTTTGCGACACCGATAAAAATTCTGTGTTTCGCATATTATTTTATCCTCAAGAAAACCCTCAAAAAGTAATTTTGAAACCTATATTATTTTTTGTCAGGCTAGAAAAGAATGTGCAGCCTTAGTTTTCACTCTCTTATTCATGATTATGCTATTCAATGATGATTTTTATAATTTAGTTTAATTCATAAGACAAAATAACTTGATCTCTATGGTTATTGTATAGATTCGTAAACTGAAAGTAGGGGAGATTTAGGCCTACTTGTTTTTTGTTGTTTGATTAAAAAAACGGGGGTGCCACAGCTTCGAAAGCCAACGATAGCAAGAATATTTGGGGTAATTTATTAGTAATGATTAATTTAGTAGATAATGAGTTATGTGTAATAATCTCAAATCAGCTAGGATGTATTATGTTAATATATCTACGGTTTAATAACTCTATACAGGGTGGTAAAAAAGTCCCTGGACAGTAAAATATTAAAAAAAATGCAGATAGAGCTACAATACTTGGTACAAAGTTACAGGGCATAAAACTCTATTTTAACACATATTCAATGATCCAATAACTCTTCAGGGGGACGGCCCACAAGGAGTCGGAAGAAAATCTTAAACGGAAGCATAGGTCAATATGCACATCAAATTAAAGGTCTTTTTTAGTAAAATACAATGCCGCAAACCGCACTTCAAAAGGTTGATCCTGCGCAAAATGACAGTTGTTCAAAGATTCATTTAATTAACATTGCTATTATACGCTTACTTCTCAGGGGGCACAACCCTAGGAATTGGAAGAAAATTGTTAACGTAAGCATAGGTCGATATGCACATCAAATTAAAGGTCTTCACTAGTAGATTACGATGCCGTAAGTTCAAGCTCAAAAGAATGCCTGAGTAAAAAATGGCAGTCGTTCAAAGATTCAAAATGGCGGATTCAAGAAATCTTTGAACATCTGCCATTTTGCGCAGGATCAACCTTTTAAAGTGTGGTTTGCGGCATTGTATTCTACTAAAAAAGACCTTTAATGTGATGTGCATATTGACCTATGCTTCCATTTAAGATATTCTTCCGACTCCTTGTGGGCCGTCCCCCTGAAGAGTTATTGGATCACTGAATATGTGTTAAAATAGAGTTTTATGCCCTGTAACTTTGTACCAAGTATTGTAGCTCTATCTACATTATTTTTTAAAATATTTAACTGTCCAGGGACTTTTTTACCACCCTGTATATACGGTACAGCTAATGTATAATGCACAATGTATAAACGTAAGCTTTATTAAGGACGATTGGCTCCAGTTTCGAACCATCATAGATAGTTAAATAATAAATACTAATTGTACTGACTAATCTTATAGTAGAGATTGTTATTGTTTGTTCAGTTCAGCTTAGCATGAATTATTTATTAGATTTTTTCTAAACTTATCATTTGTACTGTTTTCAGATTAATCGACAAGCTATTGGTGAAATGTCCTCCGAGTGCAGACTGTGGCCAGACCGTACAAAGAGGTGACCTAGAAGACCATCTCAAGTTCCGGTGAGTTCCTTTTCTTAAATAAATTATCAACTTATTATTCGTTTAATGTTTGCATTTACTATTCACCAAGCACAATGTCAATAAAACGAATTTTGTAGCGTTTAAAATCCATTGCTAGACTAGTTTGGACAGTTTATATTAAGCAAGTAATCGTGTATTACAGTTGGATTTTTTTAGCTAGAAGCGGTTAAGGTGTGTTGGAATATCTTTGAAGATAAACCTTTTTTTGTTGTAGTGCATTCATGTGTTCATACGTGTCAAATTTTGACTATTTTGAGGTTAAATAAAAACAAACAAACTGGCATAATATTGTCAATTACAATTAGGCATATAAGAGCCGTCTTGTGTTACTTACGACAGAATGTTTTTTTTTTAGATGAATAAATAAATTGAGTGAATTTCATTATGTAATTTATTAGAAAACATTCAGTATTTAGGCTACTGTTTTTTATAAGCCAAACTCGAATCTTCCTTCTGTGGTCTATCGTATAACGTTATCCTGTTTGTACGAGGTGAACTTATCTGATTGCATAAAGAATTATCAACAATACTGTTAGCTGTTAATTATAATTCAAATGGCTCAAAACGTTAGCCTATCTCGTCGTATCGAGAGTATTTAATTCCAAGGATATGTGCTAGTTATTTGTTTGTTTTGATTTAGCATCAAAACTTGACACGTATGAACACATGATCGCTCTACAGCCAAAAAAGGTTCATCTTCAAAGATATCCCACCACACCTTAACCGCTTCTGCCTAAAAAAATCCAACTGTACATAGGCTTGATAATTGAACCTTATTGTATTATATTTGTTTCAGTTACCACATTATTGGTCAGTCTTAACCTATGCATTATATGAGTTGGTAGACGTAGCTACAAGGTCCTATCGTATGATTCGCATATTTCCAAATAGAATAAATACTTAAGCATTTCTCTATTAGGTTTCTGTAGTATTTATGTTAAATCACTGTGCACAATCTATATTTAAAAATTCAACTTCCTTTTAAAGCCAACGTGTTAGATCAACTCATCAATTTAACAGTGTTTGATAAATATCATATACATTTATTAGTATCTATTATGGATACTCAAATTAGTGTTGATATTAAATTCAATTACGGTCAGAGGAAAGTGTACTTAATTAATCTCTATGCATATTGTATCAGAAGATTCCAAGAACATAAATAGATGAGTAGATCAGTTGAGCGCGAAACATCCGTCTCCGAGGTCCCGCGTTCAAATTTCCTCAATTTGAATGGATTTTGTCCTAGTGATAATACCGCGATCTCTTCTAGGCCTAGCCTGAAATAATGTAAACAAAGATTCCGTGATCTTTAATTTATATTGTGGTTATAAATTATATTTCTCGCTACAGTTTATATGAAGAGTCGTATATTCTTTATGTTATTACATGTATATAAACCTATTATATTACACATACAGGGTGGCTGAAAAGTAACTTGCACCCCCACTTAACTTTTCAACCGTTTGAGATATTTGAAATCGGTTTGTGGCAACCTTCTTAGATATGAGGGGCTACAATAATTATGGTCAGTTTTGAAAATTTTGCCCTTAGGGGTAGCGGGGGTAGGGGATAGCTCAAAATTTTCAAATCACAAGTATAGTCGAGTTTGGTATCATTTTACAGGTCTTGACAAAACATAACGAATAACATAAAGAAAATATAAATCGGACGATTAATAACAAAATGGCAGCTAAAAATAATTGAGACAATGGTTATTTAAAGTAATTTTGAACTGCCATTTTGTTATTAATGGTCCGATTTCTATTTTCTTTATGTTATTTGTTATGTTTTGTCAAGACCTGTAAAATGATACCAAACTCGACTATACTTGTGATTTGAAAATTTTGAGCTACCCCCTACCCCCGCTACCCCTAAGGGCAAAAATTTTAAAACTGACCATAATTATTGTAGCCTTTCATTTCCAAACAAGTTGCCGCAAAGCGATTTCAAATATCTCAAATAGTTAAAAAGTTAAAGAGGGTGCAAGTTAATTTTTTTGCCACCCTCATGGTTATTTGGATTTGAAACGTTTTAGGGCGCCATTTCGTTATTAGTGAGCCGATTTTGGTTTTCTTTATGTCAATGTTTATGTTTCGTCAAGACCTGTAAAATGATACCAAACTCGACTATGGTTGTCATTTGAAAATTTTGAGCTACCCCCTACCCCCGCTACCCCTAAGGGCAAAAATTTCAAAATTGAACATAATTATTGTAGCCCTTGATATCTAAGAAGGTTGCCGCAAACCGATTTCAAATATCTCAATTGGTTGAAAAGTTAAGTGGGGGTGCAAGTTACTTTTCAGCCACCCTGTATATTACACATATACCCATCCATCAACTAACTTTAAAATGTATGCAAACTTTTAATAATAAAACTGAATTTCCTTTTCGTTGCTATCCTCATACAAAATAACGTTATGGTGCTATGGAAGTGTCTGTAAGTATGAAAAATATCCCGCAGAAATCTAAACTATTTATGAGCCCATTAATGTTTGCAAAGTTTCACGGTTCCAAAGTTTTCCCCTCTAAAAGCTTTGTTTATTGGACATAATGCTATCGCCCATAAACATACGCTACGAGATAACTTTGGACATAAAATAACATAGTAAGAAAACTTTGGAGCTTAACCTTACTATGAGTTATTATGACCTGGTACGTTATTTAATCACATAAGATGCCTTAAAGCGTTAAGGGCTTCCTTTCGTGTTACCTACATAAAAATAGGCTGAATAGGTTTTGAGCAATATCTTCATAAGACATTATTGGGTTTGGGTAGGAATTAAAATGTCAAGCCTATATTTAATTCAATTAGCAATGTTAAATATAAAAACGTTGAGATCATATTCGCGAAATCGTTGTTAATCACAATCCATAGTTTCACAAGAATATGATTACATTTTCTGTCTGATATGCCAAATTTCGTCTATGTACACTTATGTTTTGGTTTTTTATCTAATAGGAATATCTTTTTTATACTATGGGCTATCATTTTATTCATTGTAGTAAATCTGAAGAAATAAATCCAATGACTTTTTTAAAGTATTTACTTATTTAAATATTATATTTTTTGTTATGATTGTATTTATCTCTTTAGTACCTTGATTTTTATTCTGAGTTCAAATGAATTATGTTTTGTGTGCGTTTGTACTTATGATGGAATATTTTTTTTATTGTTGTGGCTTAAAAGAAACACCATAACCAGTGGTGTTTTTACACGTATCAATTTATAAGTTTTTCAAGTTAGTAGATTTATAACCTTTTCTTTGTAATCATATTTTGCATCGAAAAAGTCTTTCCTTACGTGTTTACACATTTGTCCCGAATTAGAGCAAACACAATTATCTGCAAAATTAGAAAAAAATCAACTAATTATTTTAGATAAACCATCTTATTTAGTGATAAGATGTAAACTTCTTCAATTTCGTTATTGGTTTCGACTGTAAATGTTTTCAAACCCTACTTTCGTTTGTCTTTTATTTTATCCTAGTGAACCATTATTTAAACCATAATATAAGGTGGTGTGAAAGTTCTTAAGGCGTAAAATAACAAGTTGTAACCCTCTTTCGTCGATTATTCAACGCTTAAAGTTTACTTTACGTTCTGTTATCTTTTGCGTTTGTTGTAAAGCTAAATAAGCAGATCGACAAGATTTTAATGTCTTTAGGGAAAGGGCATCTTTCCTTTCTAGCTGTTTATTTTGTTAACGTTCCGTTCAAAAGAAACAGCTGCCTTAACTTTATGTCAATATTTGTTTTGACAGAATCTGTGTTTCTAATGTGTGTTATTTCTTTGTGTATACAACCCGGGTGAAAATGTTATGTATTATAAAATCGTCTCGTCTTTTAGTAATTTAAGATAGCGATATGTTATTAAAATTAGTAATTCTTCAATAAACTACAGAAGCTCTAAATTTTCTTCAGTCCTATGTAATATACGAAATGTGTTATCTTCTCCTTTGGTTTAACCTGTTTTTTTTCTTTTTTACCAACCAACGTCGACATTTGGCCTTATAAATGAGATCTGGGTCGTGAACCGATTTTGTTAGGACTTAGCTAGGAAGTGAACTAGCGACCTCAACGTTTGAAGGCGAGCACTATAACCTCTCGGCTACTATTGACATGAAGCTATCAATTGTTTTCATAGTATTATCAAAGCTATGGTAATAAATCCTTTAGTAGTTATTTATTATAATACAGTACATTAAAGATATGTGATGCTTTATACAAGTTATGTGCCGTCATAGCGGTAAATCTAAAGATACGAACTATTTTGTTAGGTTTTACATTTGACTAATTAAGAACAACCCTAAATTATGTTTAGTATTTGTTGTCAACTTATTATATATCACATTGTATTTTACAGAAAAAGAAAAAAAAACACAATACTAATCTCTGCGACCATTTATTCTAGAAATAGTTGTTTGGTGTACTGATGTGGGGTTCTGGCGTACATTACTCTTTAAAAATACACTTTTTATAGATAGTTTTTTTAATTGTAGGTATTTTTATGCAATTCTATCTGCTGAACATAACATATTACTGTCACACGAATGTTGGATTTATAATGAAGTATTTTGTGAAAATCTGAATTCCACCTAAATGTGTGTCACTCGCAAGTGGCAATGACACGAAAAATGTTTATCGTGTGTTTTAGCTCACTCTCCTTTATATCAGACCTTTTGAATTAAATACTATAGGTCGGCCGCTTAGAAAGCGACCTCCTCCAGCATTGGTTTAGCATTAGCGCGCAGGTCGTTTTCTAAGCGGCCGAACTATAGTCGGGATTTCAACTAGTGTTCCAAAGATCAGTAAAGTTCATAAGAATGACTGATAAAAATAAGCCTGAATTATAGTATAAAACACCATCCCATATATTGATAAAGGTTATAAAAGAATAAACATTTTTATTAAGACTCGAGCTTAAAATTAACCGAAACAGAGAAAACACTAATGGCATATCTGTAAAAAGCAGAGAGA